TAAAATTAAATGGATAATTCTTTTTTTTTTTTTTTAGAAGCCAGACAGACAGAGAGATACAGAGAGACCGAAAGTGAGAAATCACCCCCAGGGGGGATGGCCATGCCACAATCCCTTCTCCTCCAGTCTCTTCTTGGGATCTTGGGCATGCACGCACACGCGCCTGGCGTGAGTTTTAAGCCACCGGGTCCGGGACGCGAACTGCGGTCGACTACGTGGGAGTCCAGCAACATAGCCATTACGCTGTTGGTCCCGATAATTCTTTTTTTTTTTTTTTTTGATCTGTTATTTATTTATTTATTTATTTTTTCCCCAATTTATTTATTTGCATTCATTCACTGTACATCATTACAGCATACAAAATGAGATTTTCCATCTAGAGTACACTGAATATCGTCTCAATCAAGCACATCAACAAATATGTTATTCTTAGCAAATAATCTCCCATTTCTTGTTTTCTGTATGTTTTGCTTTTTCCCCCCATCCTTGGTTCCCTATCTCTTACCCTCTGCCATCTCCTGTTCTCCTCCCACACTGTCTCTGTTATCTATGTTTGCTTTCTATACCATTTCCCTCCCACATTTTATTGAATCACCAAAGACCCTAATCAATCCGAATACCCTCCTAGCAAACACATGTGACACACACATTTCCATGAGCACAAGTCTAACTTTACACATCCTATAAAGTAGCACCTAACTGGGGCTACATATCCTACTGCAGTCATTGAATAGATACATTTTTTTTTCCTGAAACATTTTTTTGTAACTCAATTTACATTCCTTCCCTAAGTATCATCCCAGCACACAAAATGCTATCTCCCATCCAGTACACACTGCATAGTGACTCATGCACATTACAGAAAAAATAAATTTCCAATTCTAGTTCCTAGAATTATTTCCACCCTTTAACTTAAATCAAAGAACCGCCAAGGAACTTTGCTTAAAGCCCGGAAACAGGTTAGGATTCTGTTCAAATGGTAGGTGCATGAACCTATCAGTCTCATATACTTTTATCTTCTGTTCTGGTTCAATTTTCCTGATTAAATTCTGGGATATAGTATTCAACTCCAGACTTGTCCCTATGATTAAGTTAGCTACTTTCTCAGTTTTTGGACTCTTATTTCCATGTATCTGCGTTTAGTTTTCCTGATACAGCACATCCTTGAGAACTTCTTGGAGGTCTGGTCTGGTGCTGGTAAATTCTTTCAGGTTTTGTTTATCTGAGAATGTTCTTGTCTTTTCTTCCCACCTGAAAGATAATCTTGCCGGATACAGTATTCTTGGCTGAAACTGCTTCTCTCTTAACACTTGGAATATATTTTCCCATTCTCTCCTCGCTTTTATTGTTTCTGATGAGAGATCTGCTGTTAGCCTGATGGGATGTCCTTTGTAGGTAACTTGATGTTTTTCTCTTGCTAATCTTAGTATCTTGTCTTTGTCTGCAGTTTTGGTCAACCTGGCTATAATGTGTCTTGGAGAAGATCTTCTAGGGTTGATTCTATTTGGGGTCCGTTGTATTTCCTGGGACTGGATCTTTGAATGCCTCTCTAGGTTTGGAAAGTTTTCTTGCAGGATTTCATGGAATAGATTATCAATGCCCTTATGGGTTTCCTCACCTTCTGGAATGCCAATTATCCGGATATTTGGACGTTTGATGGTATCCAGTACTTCTCGCATATTATTCTCAAATTTTTGTGCCATTTTCTCAGTCTTCATGGTGGATTTTTCTAGGCCGGCCATTTTCTCCTCTACATCTGAGATTCTATTTTCTGAATGATCTAGTCTGCTTTTAATACTTTCCAGGGAGATTTTTACTTCTTGTATTATAGACTTCATCTCTAGCAGTTCCGTTTGAGTCTTTTGTAAAGTGTGTAATTCCACTTTTAGATCTTGCAGGAATTTCCTCATCTCTTGGAACTCGTCAATTTCTTTCTCCTTTCTCTTTAGCAGTTCATTATCTCTCTTCTCTTCCATCTCTGTTAGCTTAGACATTATGAATGATCTGAATTCCTTATCAGACATTTCCATGATTTTCACCGAACTGCTTGTGGATGAAGAGTTACTCTTTTCCCTAGGAGGAGAGGTATTTTCTTGTTTTCCCATGTTTCTCGTGATCCGGCGGTGATTTCTTGTCATCTGATGAATGTTGTGTTTCTTTCAAATTCTTGAAGTGCAGCCTTAATGTTCAGGAGCAAGCAGACAGAGGTGATCCAGAAACTCTTTGCTGTTCTATTGTGCTTGCTGGTGCAGCAGATTCAGTAGATAGTGGGGAATATTTTAACCCTATTAGTATTTGGATGTTTAGCTACAGTGCTCTTAGATCTGTCTAAAAACACACTGAAAGGATACTGGAGGGTGAAGAGACAAGAAAAAGGAAAATGAGACAGAGAAAAACAACAAAAAGAGAAAAAAAAGACAAAAAAATTTTAAAAATTAAAAATTTGTAATTACGGTTCTTTTTTTTAAAAAAAAATCACAAAATAGAAAACCACGCAAACGCGCCGTGCGAAAAATCTAGTTCACTGTAGCCATGTGGAACCTTGTCCTGAAGGCCCGTGGCTTCTTCTGCCTGGATGGGAGGAGCAGAGCGAAAATTAACAAGAAAGAAGGCGGAGCTAAGAGCCAGAGAAAAACTGGGCCTTGTTTTTTTTTTAAAAAAAAAGGGTAAAAAGGAAATATTACCAAAAAAAAAAAAGGAAAGACAGAAGCAGGGAGAGACAGGAACTGAGAGACAGAGAGAGAAGGCTATTATTAGTAGAAAATCTTCATTCCCTTAAAAATCTAGTTCACTGTAGCCATGTGGAACCTTGTCTTCTGCCGCTAGCTCGTTTGTTGGAGGCTGAATTATTAGTAGAAAATCTTCATTCCCTTAAAAATCTAGTTCACTGTAGCCATGTGGAACCTTGTCTTCTCTCCCGATAATTCTTTATATATTAAAAAATGAAGCTCATGGGGATGTTGCTGTTTGCTGCCCGAGTACACCAGCCATATGCGAGTCCATGATCTGGGCTGGTTGAATCTGGGGTGAGTCTTATGGCAACAAGACTCTGTTGGGCATGCTCTGTTTCTCTCTGTCTGTTTTACTCATGGAATAAATAATCTTAAAAAGACAAATAAGAGTTAGCCAATGGCCTGGTGGCTACGGGAGCTGGATCTCTGTGGCTGACTACACTGTTCCAGTCCCAGATGTGGCAGCTTACAGAACATGCTGGGCATGTGTGAGTGCGTGACATCCTGAGAGGAAGGAGAGGTGGCGTAGAAGGGATTGCAGTGCGACCATCTTCCATGGGAAATGCTTTGTCCTCTCCCTCTCTCTCTCTGTCACTCCCTAGTGAACACACATGCCTTCTGGCAAAAATGAGAAAACAAACAAAAATCACTGAATGCCAAAAAAGCACATGTGAATGTGAGACCCACAGACCATCATATTTAGAGTCCGTCATTTGTGGACTCTAAAACTGTACAGAAGTGGTCATCTTAGAAATAAGACTTCCGTGTTTTTTCAGTAAATCCCTTTATTTGTTTCTACAACTTCTCATTGGCTTATGGACTGACTCCTCTGACACCTTTGCTAGAGGAAAAAGAATTCTCTGGCTTCAGAGGCACTAGAGAACAGATCATCTTATTCTTTTGGAGTTTTCCTAAGCCTCAAGGAGTAGCATGCCAGGTGGGGGATGGCCTTGAAAAGAGTTCTGAGCTTGAAGACACATTACCTCCTTTATGATTATGATTATGATTTTATTTTTTACTATAGGGCACATGTGAGACAGAGAGACAGAGAGACAGAGAGAGGGAACGTGAGAAATCAGCCCCCAAGGAGGATGGTCATGCTGCAATATCCTCCCCATTCTCATGAGGTTTTATGCATGCAATGCTCATGTGCCTGGCATATTTCCCAAGCTCTCAGGTTTGGGACTCAAAAACTTGTACAGTCAGCCATGTTGCATCCAGCACCTTAACTACCATGCCACCTGGCTGGCCCTTTACTGTGTATTTTTGTCTGGCATTATTACCACTGAACCAAGCTGGCTGGCCAACATTAGGGTCCATGGTGTTCCTCTGGAGGCAGAATAGAGCAGAGGTGCCCTGGAGGAGTACAGATGCTGGGTTCTTGACACACAGTGGTCCTGCTCGTGGACAGTGAGGGTATCGATGAATGCAGAAAGTTGAGTGTTTAAAGAGAGAGGAAGGAGAGCAACTGAGAGGAGTCTGGAAATTGTCCTGGGAGAAGGAGGTGCTGAGAGTTAGGTTGCCGTAAGACTACTTTTTAGAGGTTCTTGGAAGCTGCTAGATTTTGAGATGAAATTTTAGCTGTGGAACCAGTAGACTAATCTGCTGTGCTGCTTCTGCCTCTTAGGACTTTAGAATATGCCAAAGAAGAACAATGAGTATCAGAGGCAAAAGAGAAAACCATAGTTTGGCCACAAATGTACTTAATAAAGTCCAGGAGTGATAAGGGAAGCTATTAAAACACGCAGGATGCTAAATTGATTTGTGCAGACTGCTTCTATACCATGTTAAGTCTGTTTTCCTACACTTTCTTGGCAAGTTTTTAAGGTCTTTCCAATATCCATTGCTTAAGACAGACTGTAGTGTCTGCTCAAATGTAGGGAACAGTACAACTCCTTAAAGACAGAAAAAAAAGAAAAAGATTGGACGATTATAAGAGCTATTTCTTCAAACTGAAGACATCTTAGTATCTAGACATAAGTAGAAATAGAAAAGAGAATTGTGGTAAATCTTTTCATAAAGTAAATGGAGTATGTGTAGTCCACCTAAGTTGGTGTGTTTTGTGGGTCTGATTTTTGGGTTTCGTTAACATAGGGTAGACCTGGGTCCTATCAAAGCACGTTTGAAATGAATGAGGATAAGATATTGCCACCACTACCAATTTCCCATTTCTAGCCATATTATCGACTCAGTTTTCCCATTTTGTCTTAGGAGCGAGCAGTCATGTTAGAGTAGAAGGTAACCTTGATTATCCTCTTCATTTTGCAGACAAGGAAACTGAAGTCCAAAGAGTTAAAGAGATGTGCCCAGGGTCACATGGATAAGTAGTGGCTACCATGATATTCTTGATCTTCCCCAAGATCTAGTCGCTATTGCTGTCTTCTCAATAGAAGCATCGTCCTGGGATCTATCCCTCCGTCATGAGACTTGGGCGAAGGAGACACCACTTCCAGTTTCAAACTACATCCTGGTTGGTCTAAGCCAATCAATCTCCTGGCCTAGTGGTGAGTACAAGACCTACGGTGCCCCTATAGACAGAAGGGGAGGACTTACATTCCATGCTTAGGGGAGAAGATTCCTTTTCTCTTTCACATGTGACTTCCACTACCATTGGGAACCATTGTTTTACACTCAAGGGTCTATCTGACACAGGTGTCCAAGCACAATTAGAGCACAGCTCGACTTCTACTAAATGAAGTGTAGTTCTTATTACACCACACAATTGCCTCACAGTGCCCAGCAGGCTAGGATATTCCACCGGGCATTTGGGCAAAGCGAACATTCCTAACTTTTCCAGACTGCTGAGCAGAGTTAGATGGTGATTATTAATAGAATGACATTGAGGAAATTAGTATGGCTCACTCTTTGGCAATTAAACCGTATGCTGGTCTCCAGCGGTATGAATGGCATTGCCAGCGTCTGCATATGGCTGAGACAGAGAGGAAGGGACTACCTGAACTAGTCAAGATATTTTAGTTGCAAGTGACAGATGACTTAATTCAAACTGCCTGCAAAATAAAAGAAATATAATAGCTCAAAAATAAAAAAAAATTTGGGCGAGTGACTATCATAGTCTGTTTTGTGCTCTATAACAGAACACCTGAGATTTGGTAATTTATAAAGAACAGAGATATATTTCTTATAGTTCTAGAGGCTGAGAAGCCCAAGATCATGGGGCTGGTTTCTGGTAAGGGCCTTCTTGCTGCATTATCCAATGGTGGGACAAGGTGGAGCAAGAGAGTGAGAAAGAGAGGGGCAGAGCCAGACAGGGCCAAACTCAATTTTACAATGAAATCTTTATGCGATCTTCAGATAATGGCATAAATTCATTCATAGTATCTCTGTTTTCATGACCTAATCAACTTTTAAAGGTCTCACCTCTCAGCATGTGGCACTGGGAATGAAGTTTCTAACACACGGACTCTAGGGTATTTCTACAAAGCATACCTGTGACACAACCCAAAGGTTCAAATGACGTCTCCAGGACTGCCTTTAGCCACTTCTTGGCTTCTTTATCATCCACATTGGTTTTATTCTCATATTCCACATGGGCAAAACTGGTAGCTAGTGATTCCATACTCACCTTCTCTGCTTGTGACCAGTGGAATAGAGAGGGGTCTCCTTCCCATCCTACGGGCTACCAATGTCTCCTGCCCCTGGTTGACTCTGGTTGGGTCATATGCTCATTCCTGAGCCAGTCAATGCTCTGAATGGTCAGGCCAGAGTTGCAAGTCTCCCTGGACTGAAGAATGCAGACTGAGAATGGCAGCAAGTCCCCAGGGGAAAGTCACTGTTCTGTTACCCAGGAGATAGGCAGATAGGTGCTGTCTGTCCAACTCATTACCTGGAAGCTTTTCTAAATGTGTAGATTTTCTTTTCTTTTTTGGCTTATGCTATGCAAAGAGTAGAGAATTTGAAATCAGGAAACAGATTTCAGTCCCAGCTCTTTGCATGTCAGCTCTCCCATCATTAAATGCATAAGAATACCTTTACCTAGTGTGACCCCAGAGTTGCTCTGAGGCTTGAATGAGATTCTGAAGGGGAAAGTACTTTTCAAAATATTATGGACTAAACAAAAATGAGGGATTGTTGGCATTATTATTATTTTTTGTTAATAACTTTAAAATTGTATTTTATTTACTACATTATTATATTTTAAAATTTTACTAAAGAGGGACAGAGAGAGAGAGAGAGAGAGAGAGAGAGAGGAGAGAGAGAAAGCGAGAAAACAAGTCAGCCGGTCTGTGACTTGAACCATGGTCAGCCATAGAAGAGTCCAGTGCCTTAACTACCATGCCACCTGCTGACCCTGGTATTATTGTTATTATTACTATTCTGTTTCTGAATTTCTCCCACTCATGCTCTGAGTATGGTGCAAATTTCTTTCAGGCAATCGGTGAAGAGTAATGCATCCTTAGCATCTAGGAAGAACTTGGTCAGTGTTGCTGTGAGCATATAGCACAGCACCTTCATTAGAATCTCATAGACCTCTCCTTCCTCTCGGGGTAGTGCCATCCAGGAAAGATGGCTTGGCATGTGCATTTCATCTTTGTACAGAGAAGAAGTTGCTCCCCCATCTAGGTAGACATACCTGCATGCAAGGATGCATGCTGGGGTGAATGGAGTGCATGCTGGACTGCAGGAATTGCTGCCTCTTTAGCAGGAGAGTGTGGCAGTTATTGGGGGGGAGGGTCTGCCTATGCATTACACAACCTGCATAGCTGCACTCCTTGTGCTCTGACTGTGGGGATGAATCAACGAGCAGGTTGATCTTCGGAGGGCTTTCTCCTCATTTTCCTGGCAAAGTCCATCTAACCCTCCAAGATGATTTACCTCTCTCCTTTTTTCTGAGCATTTTCACTTCATCCTGAATGCAGCAGTCTGTGTTGGCCCTTAGTTAACTACCCACTAGTGAGCCAGATTCTGCTGGCCTTTTTAGGTGCTCACCTACATACTGTTCCACCTGTAAGGAAAAGAATGCCTTCTTTTTAACTGTTCTGATGACTGATTTTGCAGAGGGCAGCTAATCATTTATTTTCAAAATTTTTTATTGCCAGAGGGTGTATGTGTTTGCAAGAGATAGATAGATAGATAGATCGATAGATGGATGAGAGAGAGAGAGAGAGAGAGAGAGAGAGAGAGAGAATCCCCCCTCCCATGGGGACATGGCCATGCCACAATCCCTTATCCATTTTTCCATCCTTTCAGGATTTGGGGCACATGCTCACATGTGTTCAGCATGTTCCTCAAGCTGCCATGACTGGGATTTGAACCATAGTCAGTCATATGGGCTGTGGCTCCTATGCTTAGGTTAACCACTGCACAATAGGATCAGCCCAACATCTAACCCTTTAAAATAAATGCAGCGCATTAGTTGACCACAATTGACTGTTGTTGCAAAGTCAGAAGTTGATTTCTCCAAATGCCCAAGAAGCAGGGATGAAAAGCACAGGCAGCTTCACCTAGATTGACCACCACTGTTTGCTATTCTAAATCCTCCTGGCAACAGCAACTCCGGAAAGAAATTATTTGAACTAGATCCAGCCAGCCTCCAGGGAGCCAGGGATGCGATACAGTAGCCTTTATGTTACTGTGACTGAAAGTCTTTCTATTCTTAAAAGATTATCCTGCTCTTTTGTGAAAGATGGATGGTTAGCACCAACAGGCACTTGCATTGTTGCTTTGTGACCAGGTCGCCTCTTTCACTCCCTCCTTCAATCTTTTGGGTCATCTGAAATGCATAGTTCTGACAGAAACTTTCAACACAATTTTCTCCAGGATTAACTGGTCACCATGACATCAGTGGTGTGGCTTGGGTGAACTGGGTCTCAGTTTAAAGCACACTCTGATCTCTTTTGCCTATAAAATGCCTTTACTTGACATTGCTGCTGTTCCTCATCTCTTTCTTCACACAAAAATTCTCGGCTGCCTTAGCTTTTGTTTCCTCACTATCAACTGGCTTTATACCCTCCAAATTGACTGGTTTTCCTGTTTGTCTCCTACCCCTATAGGCCCTTTCTCTGCCCACTCTTTTCTGCCCCCACCGGGCTCCCTTGCTGTTAGGTTCTGGTTGGTTCCCTCCGTGGAAGGCATGGTTGGAGATGGAAGGTGAGTGGACAGTGAGAGGAGGTGACTGCTGCCCCTGAACTCCATCACAGTCTCACGGAGGGTCTGGCAGTAGCCATTGTTGCTCCACTGCACCATTCCTGGGGGGAGATCTTCCCTGTCTCCAGAATCCTGGCAAGAGATGGAAACAGCTTCTTGCCATTGATTGCTAGCCTCTTGAGTGTCCCATTGTCTCGTGCAGGTTCTCTGTTTTTTATTATTCATGATAGATCATGTGAATGCACCCAAGGGGGAGGGTCACCCTCACAGGACTTTATCACACTGCTATCCTCTTCCTCTGGTCCTCCAGCCTGCCAGAATCCTGGGTACTTGTGTGCACTTGGCATGTTTTCAGGTCACCTGGACTGGGGATTCAAACCATGGTTAGCATGTAATTTCCTGCTCTGCAGTCCAGTACACTTCCAGCTGAGCTAGAGAGTCTGGGCCTGATGCTGGTTTTCCTAACCCTGCATACATTCTATCTAGTCCCTTCATTAAATTATTTTCTTTCTTTCTTTTTTTTTTTTGGGGGGGGAGAGATTTTTGCTATAGGGCATGTGTGCTCACTGGAGACATAGAGAGACAGAAAGCATGAAATCAAAGAAATCACCCCCTGGGAGGATGGCCATGATGCAGTCCCTTTTCTTTCATTCTCCTCTTGGGATTTTGAGCACACACGCACATGTGCCTGGCGTGAAATTTAAGCTGCTGGGTCCAGGACTGGAACCATGGTCCACTATGTGGGAGTCCAGCAATGTAACCATTACATCTTCTGCTGGACCCTCCTTCATTAAATTCTTTACAGTTTGGTTCTTTTGAGTGCCATCTGCTTTCTGCCAGGATGCTGTGTTTGGGTTACCCTCACAAATCATCCAAGATACCTCTCTGTAAGGCTATTAGGGGTCTCCAAGACATGTACCTAAGAAAACTTTGCAGCCTTGTTTATCCATAGCCATTCATGCTCAAGTACTGTTTTTCTTTTCCTCTTCTTTAGTTTCTAGATGCTGTCCCATTCTTGTTTCCTTCTACCTGTTGGCTCATTCTTTGACAAGAACTATGACAAGTGGTCCTCCATTTCCATTCCATCCTGCCCCATGTGGAACATAGCTCATAAAAAAATAATCTTCCTGGGACCAGCAGTTGGTGTAATGGCTATGTCTCTGGACTTCCATGTCGTCCGCTGTGGTTTGAGTCCCGGACCCGGTGGCTTAAACTCACACCGGGTTCATGTGCGTGTGTGCCCAAGATCTCAAGAGGAGAATGGAGAAGGGACTGTGGTGTGGCCATCTCCCTTGGGGGGGACTTCTCCCTTTCTCTCTTTCTCTGTCTTTCTGGCGAGCGCATGCACCCTATAGCAAAAACCTCTCCAAAAATAAAAATAAAAAAAAATTCTCCCTGAGGTACCAGCAGGTGGCATGATGGTTAAGGCTCTGGACACTCCCACATGGTTGACCACAATTTGAGTCCCGGACCTGGTGGCTTACTTTCCCGCTTTTCCTCTCTCTCTCTCTCTCTGTGTGTGTGTGTCTGGTCAAATTAAAATGAATGAATTAATAAATAAAATTAAGTAAATAATTCTTAAAAAATATTTCTGAAACACTTGGAACCAATTTAAGGAGCAGTCTCAAACCCACAGTAGAGGCAGGTTCTGGATCATTTCCATTTGGTCTGTTGACTGACTCTCCATCCTCCTCCACAATTTTCTGAGCCCTTGGAGACAGACCTTGATGGACACATCAAGGGGCTTCCTGTTGGGTTCAGGCAGTCGGGAGGCTCTGGTAGGAGATGAGAGGGCGTGGGGAAGATGAGGTTGGCGTGTTCATCTCTTGGGCTGCCTTGTGGATGGAGAGGGTTGGCACTGGATATGTTTTTCTTCCATAGGTCACGGGTCCTCCTCTACAGCTACAGAAACGTTTCTCCTCTTGGGTCTAGGGATGACAGCCCTTTCTACTGCTGCTAGTCCTCTTGGTTCTCTAACCTGCCCACCATTCTGTGTGCAGTCCTGTCTTTTCCTAAATTACCCCCTTCAAGGGTCCCATCTGTTTCTGCTGGGACCTCACTGGTCCCAGGCTCCAGTCACTGGCGTACGTCAAGATCTCCAGACCTTTCTATCTTTTGGGGGATTCCCACTGCTTTCTGGTCATTGTAATTTATTACAATTTAGTCCATAGGGTTAAAATTTAATCTCATGTCTGAATTAATTCTCCTTTTTCTCATCTGCTCAAGGACAGAGATCTCAGGTACAAGGTGGTCTTTGATTTCTTTCCACCAATAACCAAGTATTTTCTGTGTCCTGGGGAAGGAGGAAGACAAAGGAAAGGGAGACATCTTTCTTTTATAACCAACTGCTGAGACAGCTGTGTCTTCTTTGTTTGCTTATGTCTCTGGTTAACACCCCATGACCATCAAGGCCGTCTGTGGGGCCAGAGTCCAAATGTGGATTCTCTCAATGATGCCGTGGTAACAAACCACCCTCAATTGAAACAAGTTAGAGCAGCACAGGTTTACTTCTCTAACATGCTCCATGTCCACTGCAGGTCAACAGAAGTTCACCAACTCATTGAGGAACTCAGGCTCCTGGAACAGCTTCCATCTCCAGCATTTGCCAGATGCTACCAGAAGGAACGAGTACTCCCAGAAGATTTGGCATCAAGACTTCAATGTTGCTATCTGAAGTGACTTATATGTACATTTCATTGGCCAGCATTAGTCATGTGGCCCTGCCCACACAGAAAAGGAACAGGAAGTACAATCTTACTATGTGCCCAGAAGGGGGTGCTCTGGAGATCTTTGGGAAGGATATTGATGACCAACGCAGGTCACATGGTCACTTCCTTAGAGCACTCAGCATGGACTAGTTCTCTAGCCAGGGGTCACTAATGCCAGTCTGCAGGCCCCGACACCATCCACTCACATTATTGGAAGTCCATTGCCTGCCATCTTACTGCTGAGTCTCCATGGCTCTTTGGATACCTCCTGGGGAAGACAACTGACAAGACTGCAATTACTGTTATGTTATTTTAATTTTTATTGTTATAGTTTTTCTATAGGGTGCACAAGCTCACTGGAGAGAGAGAGAGAGAGAGAGAAAGAGAGGGAGAGGGAGAGAGAGAGAGAGAGGTGAGAAATCACCCCCTGGCAGGATAGCATACAATAATCCCTTCTCCTCTACTCTCCTCTCAAGATTTTGGGCATAGGACCAGCAGTTGGCATAATGGCTATGTTGCTGGACTCCCATGTAGTCGACTGCAGTTTGAGTCCTGGACCCGGTGGCCTAAACTCATGCTGGGCACGTGTAGGTGCATGCCTAAAATCCCGAGAGGAGAATGGAGGAGAAGGGATTGCAGTGTGGCCATACCCCTGGGGGGTGATTTCTTGCTTTCTGTCTCTTTGACTCTGTCTTTCTGGTGAGCACATGCGCCCTATAGCAAAAATCTCTCAAAAAAAAAAAAAAAAAAAAAAAAAAAAAACAATTTTGGGCATGCATATGTGCCCAGGGTCTGAGCTACTGGGTCTGAGACTTGAACCATGCAGCTGGCCATGTGGGACCCAGCTGCCTTAACCTCCATGCCACTTGCTGGACCAACTGCTATTATTATTATTAGATATATTTTTTTCAAGAGATTTTTTGCTATGGGGCACGTGTACTTGCTGGACAGACAAAGACAGAGAGACAGAAAGTGAGAAATCACCCCTCTCCCTGAGGGGGATGGCCACACCACAATCCCTTCTCCTCTAGTCTCCTCTCGGGATTTTGGGCACACATGCACACGAGCCTGGCATGAGTTTTAAGCTGCTGGGTCTGGGACTTGTACCACAGTTGACTATATAGGAGTCCAGCAACATAACCATTACACCATCTGTTGGCTCCATCATTATATTATTATTATTATTACTACTACTATTATTTTAATTTAAGCAGAGAGAGACAAAGAAAGATAGAAGGAAAGTGAGAAAGCAAGCCACCGGGTCCGGTACTTGAACTGCAGTTGGCCATGTGGGAGTCCAGCACCTTAACCACCATGCCACTAGGGCCCCAGCCAAATGTTACCTTTTAAAAGAAAATTGTTGTGGTAAAATACACGTAACATGAAATTCAGCACTTTAATCTTGTTAACAAGTACAACTGAGTACATTTGCAGTGCTGCACAACTATCACCACTGTCTGGTTTCAGAGCATTTTCATCACCCCAAAAGGAAACCCTGAACCTATTAGTCACTTCCCATTCTTCCTTCTCTCCTGAAACCAGGAAACACCTTCTTGTCTCTCTGAATTTGCCTATTTTGGATATTTCATATCACCAGAATGATAAAATATGTGGCCCTGTGTGTCTTTAAACCCAGTTCCTTTTCGAGTCCTCATGTCCCTGTGACCTACAGGAAGCCCACACAATATCATAACAAATGTGGCAGTAGGGGTACTCTCTAGGTGTCTCCTCTTTTCACTTGCTGTCACTCCAGTTTCCTTCTCCCTGGCTTAGAAGAAGACTGCATTCTGCCGCCTAAGCAGGGAGGGTTGCCTGCCTCCTTTTCTTTCAGGTTCTTCAACTTCTGTGGGTGACTCTCTTGGAGTTAACTCCTCATGCTGTTGGGGTGGGTTGAGGATGAGGCTGTCCAGAAAGAAAAGGCCACTGTACCTCCCTCCTGTTCTCCCGTCTCTATTCCCTCTCAAGCAGAAGTGCCTGAGGTACTTGAGATGGTGGACAATCATGGTGGAGCCATAGTTAATAAACCTCAGGACATGTGGTATCCGGTCCCCTCTCCGCCCCCTGTGTTCTTCAGCCACTGCTGTTTTCTCAGGCTGTGGACCTGAGTGACAAGAAAAGTATTTTGATATTTTCTCACACAGCATTTTGATAATGGTCCTCCCCTGCTCAACAACTTTCCATGTCTCTCTAAAAAGGAATGGTATTAACTCTAAATTCTCATCTTGGCATTCTAGGTCCCCTACAAACTAGCTCCAATCTCGTTTTCTAGTTTCCTTTTTCCCTACTCCCTGCACAAATTCTTTGTTCCTTTCAGGCTGGCCTGGAAGCTCACTGCCCCCAAAATGTCCTTGCACAATTCGGTTGGGGTCGTGCGGTCATCCATCCCCACCTGGACTGCTCTTTCTGCCTATGAGGCTCTTTCCCATGGTCTCCTCCTGGCTGGCCTCCCTTCCCCAGTGAACTCTTCAGCTTGGTCTGGGCACATATCTTGCTGCCCTGCATGATTGGTGACCTCCTCACATGCTTACGCTGGCGGTGGGGTGAGACACAGAATGACAGACTGGTTGCAGCCAGCCGAAGGTGGACTGTCCCACCCCCTCGCCCGATGTGTTCCCAGTAAGGCAAACTAGCAGCGTCAGTCAGAAGCGAGCTTAGCCAAGGCTATCAAATCCAGATCTTTTCCTGATTGGGAAGTGGAGTGTTAGGAATGTGTGAAGCAGAGGCTTTTGGATAACTCAGCCATAACTCGGCCATCTTCCCGGCATGCCTGCTGGCTTATGCTGGAACTGGGGGTCTGAAAGAAATGGTCATAAATGGTCGTCTAGGGGTGCTTTAGGCAGACCCGGAAGTACACCCGGTTGTTACCATGTTTGGGTGAAGGGATTAAAAGGAAGCAGGAGGGAGAAAGAAAGGCAAATTGCAGAGGAAAGGAAATAAAAGATGGAAACAGAGAAAAAGGCAAGTCACTGTGGGGAAGAGCAGAGAGGGTGGATGGATTTAGGGGACCCCCAAACCGAGGGTGAGAAGCAGCAGAGTCTTAGGGCCCTGTTTGGTGGCTCCCACTATTCCTATGCTTTCCCCTAACCCCAGGCCAGTATGTACATCCCCTATCCCATCCGCAGGTTACCTGCCCTGACTGGTCAGAAAGTAGCCCCAGGCAGGGAGTATTCTTCCTTGATAATCTCACCTCTGGGCCGCATCTGCCTTTGTTTATGTGTATTTCTGGTTTAGTTTGTTTTTATGGGAGGGGCTGCTTTATGTCTTGGAGAAATTATTTCCAGCCCTGGAGAAATGCCCAGAGGGACAGAGCTACTGCCACATTGCCAGTGCAACCTGACCTTGTCCAGTGGCCTAGGGCCATCCTTGCTCCAGAAGTTCCCCCAGCCATGCAGGACATGCAGGAAGTGGGCACGTCTCCTTTGAGGGCTCCCATTAGATCTTCCTAAATCAAGCCAGACTGGCAGCACTGTTTTCAGGCACCCTGACTTTGAAAAATCTCTCGTTCCCCTAATTGTGAAGGCAGGACTTCCAGGCACGAGGGGTGGTAGGGCTTCTGCAGGGCCTGTGATTCAGCTTCCGTTCAGGTGACAGTGGCGGCTCTTCTGCTGTCTCGACAAGATCTCTGCACTCATACCCACTCAGGAACACTTCTCACCTGGGCTACTGAGGCGAATTCCAAGAAGGATCCTTGCCTCTGAACTTTCCCTTCCAATCCACTCTATCTGTGGCTGGTGGATTAATTTAGTTTATTAAAGGCCTCTCTTATCTTGACATTTCTCCACTTAAAAGTCATCAGTGACGAGGCCAGCAGGTGGCGTGGTGGACTTCCACATGGCTGACTGCGGTTCAAGTCCTGGACCTTGCTTTCTTACTTTCCTTCTTCTCTCTGTCTTTCTCTGGTCAACTTAAAAAAAAAAAAAAGAAAGAAAGAAAAAAAAAAGACAATAAAAAAAACACACACACACACAAAAACCAACTCATCAGTGGCTCCCATTGCCCATGGAGTAGATAACTAGTTTGAACAATCTATTTTATTTATTTCTTTTTAAGAAGATTTGCATAGGGCTGGCAGGTGGCATGGCGGTTAAGGCACTGGACTCCCACATGGCTAACCACGTTTTGAGACCTAGACCTGGTAGCTTGCTTTATCACTTTCCCTCTTTCTCTCTCTCTCTGGTGAGCATATATGCTCTAAAGAAAATTAAAAATAAACAAATAAAATTAAATAAATCTAAAGAAAATTAAAAATAAACAAATAAAATTAAATAAAAAAAGAAAATTCATCAGAGGGCACATGCGTACATAAGAGAGACAGAAAGGGAGAGGGAGAAAGCACCTCCCACTGGGGTGCAGTCGCACAATCCCTTCTCCATTTCTCCACCCTGTCAGGGTTGCAGCACGCATGTACTCGTGCCCAGCGTGTTGTTCATGTGACTGGCCATGTGGGAGCAGGCTTCCTAAGCCACCAGGCCATGGCGCACCCTCGTACATCTATGTTTCCGTGCTTGCTCTAGGAGTGTACTTACTCCATAAACGCTCCCACCCCTTGCTAAGGGCAGGCCTGAGAGCTGAGGAAAAGCAAAGAACAAGATAGATGCTGAAGACTTACGATCCCACAGGTTATCACTCGGAGTGCTGGTTCTGGGGTGAGCCTGCCTTTATAGTCCTTTATACTCGGGGTTCCCTCTTTGTGTAGGCTTTCCATCAGGTCCTTTGCTATAGCTTGACTATCCCTCTCCCTCAATCATATGTGGAATTAATGGAATGTGATTAGGGGAATGAAAACTTGATTCAATTATGGGTCAAAGGGTGAGGCCTTTGGGAAGAGATTAGGTTTCAGGTTATTAGGGCGAGGACCCTAAGGTCGAGTTCGGGGTTTATAAGAAGGAGGAATGAGATCAGAACAGAGGCAGGCTTATGGACGCTGCTGCTGTGTTTTGCTCTTGTCCTTGTGATGTAATTGGAGCTCTGAAAGATGCCCATCTGAGGGGGTCCTTGTACCTCCCAGCCCTGCCCTTCGTCTTTAGGGTTTTTGCCACAGGGTGCATGCGTTCGCTGAAGAGACAGACTCAGCAAGAGGGGGAGTGAATTCCCCACACTGCAATTCCTTCTCCATTCTTCTCCTTCATTTTGGGCATGCATACATATGCGCTGGGCAGGAGTTTTAAGCCATTGGAGCCAAGGACTTGAACCATAGTTGGCCATGTGGGAGTTCAGTGCCATAACCACTATGCCTCCTGCTAGTCCCACTTCTACTCTTTGTAAAGCACCCAGTCTCAGGTATTTTTTAGCAACACAATAGGGGACTATCAATAGAGGGCCTATTGTTAGACCCTCTAACAGTGTTTACTTCTATGAATGATGGA